TTTGGGGCAATCTATAAATGTGCTGCACATTTAACAGAAGTTTTGCAGATATAACCAGATCTCATTTTCTTTTCAGAACAACTGCCGTAATTTTTCATCTTGTGAAATTTAGAAATAAAGACGCTTTTATGCATTTAGTGTTTATTTGCTGTTAACTATTAAAACCCTGTAGATTTTCCTACTGTATTTACTATAGAACTTAAAAAGGCATATTAAATATGGAAGGTGGTGAAAACTTCAATTGGCATCTGCCTAGAAAACCTTGGGCCTTTCAAAACATGCACTGTACCTACTGCTTTCATGATAGCAAAATCTTCTATTTTTATATGCTCATAATTAAGGAAAAGGTTGAGAGAAGAACTTGCTGTTCTTGGACATAGTCTAAAGAGGAGATTTTTTTTAGAAAGACTGAGGGGGAATAAAAGTCCTTATTTCCTGGATTAAGAAGGAACAGAAAAGGCTCTGTGTTTGTAAATATACTGCATTACAACACGCTCTTCACTAATTAACCAGGTGGGAGTCATGGGAAGGGAATGAAATAGCACATGGATTTTCTTAGAGAAAATATATTTGATCTAAACCTGATTGAAGCATCACCTCAGAAGACACATACTAGTAGCAGTTAAGAATTTACCGTTTTATCAGTCGTCCTGCCTTTCTGAGGCCCATGAGGTTTCAGTTGGAAACTCTTAAGCTGATTAAACAGGCTGTTTTGTACTAGATGTTATTCTTGCATGCTTTTAGAAACAGCTTTGTTTTAGATTTCTGCAGTAAAGAAGAAAACTGAACTGGGAACCTCAGTTCCCTGTTAAAACCTGGGGTGCTGAATTTCAGCATGCAGCAGCAAATTTTTCCTGCCAAGCTGTAATCTCTTGATAATAGAAACCCTGACGCATAACCTTAACTACAGCTTTGCAATGGCATTATCATCACATTGATAAACATGCCATCTGAGCTCTGTTAGTCAGAACATAATGGCTTTGTGTATCTTGTCATGATATTTGTTTCTTGGGATAAAATATGGGACCTGCAAGTAACACACATGCAAACATTAACATGCTTGTTCCTTGTGCTTCCTTGGTTATTTATGGCTCCCTGTTTACGCATTGTAGCAGGATGCTGCAGAATCCAATACATTTCATTGGGGCAGCTCAAATTATAAAATGGTATTAGGAGACCTTGTGTTGTGGCTGGTCAATAGCCATGGTAACCACTTCGGGGGATGTAACTGCGTCGTCTGTCAACACTGACTGACTGAGCAAGCCACGGGGTTTCCTAATGCCACTCCACAGCAATAATGATCCGTAGCATTTTTTTAATTGTGTTACAGTTGGTCTTCAGTGAGCAGTACAAACAGCAACAGAATTCTGTCAGAAGTAATGTTTTAAAGTTAAACATAAGTGTAAAATTGAAATGATTATCTGAAGTTTTAGAAGTACAGAACTTGGGCTTTTAAGCCATCGTGCTCTAGAGCCACTTCTGCTCTTTATCAAAACTTTTCTCGTGCATCCCTAGGCTTAAGCCTCCTTGTTCCACCAGCCCTGTATTGTGAGACTATTTTAATTCAGCAGCTGTCATTTTCAGATGCCTTTTGTGAGCAGTGCAACATCTCCTGCACCATTAAAATGCAGACATAAAATTTGTTGCATGTCATTTGTGCAGAGCAGAGAAAATTTAAACTGTGTTATGCAGTCTGTTTTATGAGACGCTGGGGAGCAACAGGTCACTTCTGATTTGGTGTGCAACTATTTAGTTCTTTTATATTTAAAAACATTTAGAGGTCTCTATTGTGCTTGACTTGGAGAAAAGAAGTAGCTGATCTTGCTGCAGGCTAAGGGAGAACTGAACGTGATGCCTGAATTAGTGGAAGACTAGAATAGGGAGGAAAATCTAAAGAAGAAAATGTTTTAAAAAAAAACCTTGTTAAGCTTTAGGATTTCTGTCTAAGTTTCTGAAACTAATTTTTGTGTGCTTTGTTGTTCTTTGTGTATTAAGAAGTGGCTCTCTTGCCTTTCAATAGAGGCATGCAACTATTTTATAGTTGGGTATCTTGCACTGCCTCAATGGCCTAGTGATAATGCTGTATGACACAGATAAAGGTGACAGCATAATTGGCCAAAATTTCAGAATGCCAGAAGGATTGACTTCATTCATATTTGGAAATTGGGAACAGCGTTTCAAGCTCCCTCTAACTGTGTTATTCAGATAGGCTGTTTGCTAGGCTTACGTTCCCAGTAGGGATTTTTGATATCTCATGAATTCAAAAGAAAACAGTTTGTCATAGGCTTTTTTTTAATACAGAGTTGAATCACAACACAAAACAAAGGTAAAACAGTTTGGTTAAACGGAATCTTAAAAAAGAAATGAAATGGTCCCCTGAGAATTCAGATGCACCAAAGTAAGTTTTTGGCAAAATGAGGAATAGAGAATCAGGGCTTTTCATTTTATGCAGTGGACCAGATTGCTCTCTCGTATTTCCCTGTGCTTTTTCATCCATGGTTGGAGTGTTCCAGCTCTGGTTTCTTTCTATTCCCCTACAGCTTTTTATGTCGGCTTTTCCTATATATGCTCTGTTAACTGATGCTGCAAAAGCACCGCACCTCTGATGCAGTCCGCGAGGCAGCGATGTCAAAGCCAGGAACTGAGCTCCATCGTTTAGAATCTGAGTTCCCTTTGGATTGCCTGTTTTTAAATGTTTCTTGATTTAGTTGATTTTCATTCTTTGTGATAAGCTGCAGATGGGAATTATATTGCTCTTTGGGATGTTGGGAGTGGTATGAGGGCAGGGTTGTTTGCCTTGTTGCTGCTGCCATCTTCTCTTGCCCAGAAGCATGAGAGAAGAGGGATGCATATGGTGCCAGGGGAGGGATTGTCCCCCCCTCAGCGTAATGAAAATTCCTTGTCATTCCCGTGGCAAAAAGTGAGAAGGATGCGTGTGCACTAGTGACCAGTTACACATTGTAGGCAGTCTTGGTATCTTGCTCTGTAGATACTTGTGTGACTTCCACCTGTGAATGGGGGGCTGGTACCTTGCTATTAGTAAAGTTTTCCTTGTTCAGGAGCCCGAGCATCCCTGTCACTGAGCTCTTAAACCCCTGAGTGCTCTGCTCGCTGGTTTAAAAGGAGCAGATGGGTATGAGCAAATCGTACACTGGAAGGGACTGTGATCTCAAAGCGTGTGCAACTGGTGGTTAATGCTTGTCTCCGTGCCCCCAGGCATGTTCTTGGCGAACCCTAGCAGTCTTGCTGGTTTTGAGGGTCAGGGTTAGGTAAGGATAGATCCCTGTGGGAGCATATCTGCAAAGTAATATGCATGAGGTTCCAAAGAGACTGCTCACTCGTATTCAGCATTGTGGTGGGAGCTTACAAGGTGTACAGAGCACTATTTCAGTAGTGAATTACCCTTTCTGGGATTCCTTATCCACTTCGCTATATGGAAGCCTCTAATCACTTGCCCACCTCCTTCAAGTAGATGTTTGCAAGAAGATGTGGTCCAAAATGCATTAAGCCAACTCGATATGTTTCTTTTTAGGGCATTACTAATTCTCATCTCCCCCAGAATGTTAGGGCCCATATGCTCAACATGGCTCATCTTTTTTGAAGGCAGAATTTGGTATTTGCTAGCGTTTATACCTGTACGGTTATTACAGAAAAGGAAAAAGTCCTCAGGACTGGCCCTTCCAAAAAGAGGCACTCTTGTGTTTGGTCTTGATCTCCTGCTACTGATTCATGGTGGTGCGATGCTGGGGTAGAGGTGAGACTGGTCCTGGAGCTGCAGGCTGAGATGGCAGCAGGCTGCAATAGATTTACCGAATAATAGATATAGATATATGAAATATTTACCAGTGCTGGCCCTGGAAAGAGAGGAGGAGGGGAGCGAGCGATGCTTACAGCTGGAGGCTGAAGAGTTATCGGG